TGCCCCAACCAGCAGCGCTGAAGAAGCTGAACAGTTCTATGAAGACCTACAAGATCTTCTAGAACTAACATCCAAAAATGATGTCCTTTTCATTACAGGGGACTGGAATGCAAAAGTAGGAAGTCAAGAAACACCTGGAGTAACGGGCAAATTTGGCCTTGGAGAATGAAGCCAGGGCAGAATGAAGCAGGGCAAAGGCTAATAGAGTTTTGCCAAGAGAACGCACTGGTCATAGCAAACACCCTCTTCCAACAACACAAGAGAAGACTCTATACATGGACATCACCAGATAGTCAACACTGAAATCAGATTGATTATATTTTTTTGCAGCCAAAGATGGAGAAGCTCTATACAGTCAGCAAAAACAAGACCGGGAGCTGACTGTGACTCAGATCATGAGCTCCTTATTGCCAAATTCAGACTTAAACTGAAGAAAGTAGGGATAACCACTAGACCATTCAGGTATGACCTAAATAACATCCCTTATGACTATACAGTGGAAGTGAGAAATAAATTTAAGGGACTAGATCTGATAGAGAGCTTGATGAACTATGGACAGAGCTTTGTGATATTGTACAGGAGACAGGGATCAAGACCATCCCCATGGAAAAGAAATGCAAAAAGACAAAATGGTTGTCTGAGGAGGCCTTACAAATAGCTGAAATGAGGAGAAGCGAAAAGCAAAGGAAAATAGGAAAGATATTCCCATTTGAATGTGTAGTTCCAAAGAATAGCCAGGAGAGATAAGAAAGCCTTCCTCAGTGATCAATGCAAAGAAATGGAGGAAAACAACAGAATGGGAAAGACTAGAGACCTCTTCAAGAAAATTATAGATACCAAGGGAACATTTCATGCAAAAATGGGCTCAATAAAGGACAGAAATGGTATGGACTTAACAGAAGCAGACGATATTAGGAAGAAGTGGCAAGAGTACACAGAACTGTCCAAAAAAGATCTTCACGACCCAGATAATCACAATGGTGTGATCACTGACCTAGAGCCAGAGATCCTGGAATGTGAAGTAAACTGGGCCTTAGAAAGCATCACTACGAACAAAGCTAGTGGATGTGATGGAATTCCAGTTGAGCTATTTCAAATCCTGAAAGATGATGCTGTGAAAGTGCTGCACTCAATATGTCAGCAAATTTGGAAAACTCAGCAGTTGCCACAGGACTGGAAAAGGTCAGTTTTCATTCCAATCCCTAAGAAAGGCAATCCCAAAGAATGCTCAAACTACCACACAATTGCACTCATCTCACATGCTAGTAAGGTAATGTTCAAAATTCTCCAAGCCAGGCTTCAGCAATACATGAACCATGGACTTCCAGATGTTCAATTTGGATTTAGAAAAGCAGAGGAATCAGAGATCAAATTGCCAACATCCTCTGGATCATCAAAAAAGCAAGAGAGTTCCAGAAAAACATCTATCTCTTCTTTATTGACTATGCCAAAGCCTTTGACTGTGTGGATCACAATAAACTGTGGAAAATTCTGAAAGAGATGGGAATACCAGACCACCTGACCCACCTCTTGAGAAACATGTATGCAGGTCAGGCAGCAACAGTTGGCACTGGACATGGAACAACAGACTGGTTCCAAGTAGGAAAAGGAGTACGTCAAGGCTGTGTATTGTCACCCTGCTTATTTCACTTATATGCAGAGTACATCATGAGAAATGCTGGGCTGGAGGAAGCACAAGCTGGAATCAAGATTGCCAGGAGAAATATCAGTAACCTCAGATATGCAGATGACACTACCCTTATGGCAGAAAGTGAAGAGGAACTAAAAAGCCTCTTGATGAAAGGGAAAGAGGACAGTGAAAAAGTTGACTTAAAGCTTAACATTCAGGAAACTAAGATCATGGCATCTCGTCCCACCACCTCATGGGAAATAGATAGGGAGACAGTGGAAACAGTGTCAGACTTTATTTTTTTGAGCTCCAAAATCACTGCAGATGGTGACTATAGCCATGAAATTAAAAGATGCTTACTCCTTGGAAGGAAAGTTATGACAAACCTAGATAGCATATTAAAAAGCAGAGACATTACTTTGCCAACAAAGGTCCATCTGGTCAAGGCTATGGTTTTTCCAGTGGTCATGTATGGATGTGAGAGTTGGACTGTGAAGAAAGCTGAGCGCCGAAAAATTGATGCTTTTGAAAACTGTGGTGTTGGAGAAGACTCTTGAGAGTCCCTTGGACTGCAAGGAGATCCAACCAGTCCATCCTGAAGGAGATCAGTCCTGGGTGTTCATTGGAAGGACTGATGCTGAAGCTGAAACTTCAATACTTTGGCCACCTCGGGTGAAGAGTTGACTCATTGGAAAAGAGCCTGATGCTGGGAGGGATTGGGGGCAGGAGGAGAAGGGGCGACAGAGGATGAGATGGCTGGATGGCATCCCTGACTCAATGGGCATGAGTTTGAGTAAACTCTGGGAGTTTGTGATGGACAGGGAGGCCTGGCGTGCTGCGATTCATGGCGTTGCAAAGAGTCGTACATGACTGAAGGACTGAACTGAACTGAACTGATTTATTTTTTATTTTTTATTTAGCCTTATTTTGTATGTGTTTTTTCCTGTGGCTCAGATAGCAAAGTATTTGGCTGCAATGCAGGAGACACAGGTTCTATCTCTGGCTCAGGAAGATCGTTTGGAGAAGGGAATGGCTACCTATGCCAGTATTCTGGACTGGGAAATCCCACAGACGTAGGAGCCTGGTGGGCTACAGTCCATGGGGTTGCAAAGAGCCAGACACAATTGAGTGACTAACACTTTCACTTTTCATTGTCCACATAGCTAACTTTTGTGTATGATTGAATAAATGGATCAAAGTAAAAAAATTTTTTTTGCTTGTTAATATTTAATTGTTTCAGCACCATTCATGAAAATAATTATAATTTCTTCCCTGAACTGCTGTTGAACTTTTCTTGCAAATCATCTGATCTTTAACTTGTGGGTGTATTTCGGGGCTCTCTATTGATCAGTTTGACTATATTAATGCACCACTATACTGTTTTGATTAGGTAATGTATGTTCTCTAATTTTGCTCTTTCTTTTCAAGTTTGTATTGGCTATTCTAGGTCCTTTGTATTTCCATATAAGTTCTGGAAAAACATTCTTAAGAAAAACTAAAGGAGACCTTAATAAGTAGAGACATATATCATGTTCATAGACTTCTTAAAGACTGAATATTATTAAAATGCTATTGCTTCCCAAATTAATCTATATGTTTCCCCTCAAATGTGTCTACATCCTAATATGTGATGTTAATACCTGTGTATGTTATGTCACATGGCAGAAGGGACTTTGCAGGTAAAATTAAGGTTACGAACCTTAAAACAGGGAAATTTCCCTAGATTATCCAGGTGTGCTCAATGTAATGACATTGGCTCTTAAAATGGAAGTGGGCCAGAAGAGAGTTAATTGGAGAGATGCAGCAGGAGAAGCAGGAGAGATTTGAATTGTGAGAGTGACTTGACTTGACCCACCATTTTGTCTCTGAAGACAGAGGAAGGGAGTCATGAGGTAGAAATGTGGGTGGCTTCTTAAAACTAAGAACAACTCCTGGGTAATAGCAAGTAAGGAAGTAGTTTGCATTGAATTATATCTACAATAAAAATAAGCAGGGACTGAATTATGTCTATAATTAAAATAAGTAGGGAAACAGTTTTTGTCCTGAAGCCTCTAGAAAGAAATGCAGCCCTGCCAACACCTTGATTTTGTTTTAAGGCCCTAATTAGAGACCAACCAAGCTCATCATACTTCTGATCTATGAAAACCATGATATAATAAAGAGGTGCTATTTCAAGCCACTACATTTGTAGTACTCTGTGATGGCAGCTATAGAAAACTAGCACTTTTTATGTCTGTATAATCTCAAGCCATATTGCTTATCTTACTCTTGATATTGGCATTTTTTTTCCTTTTCACTTTTCATCCTATTTAGATTGACAAAGTTTTACCAATCTTCTTGATCTTCTCAAAGAACCAAGTTTTGGTATTATTGCTTTTTGCTAACAATTTTCTACCTTCATTTCATTGATTTCTGATCCAGTACATTTTTTTTCTACTTATTTTGAGTTTTATTTGCTTAAAAAAAACGTGCTCAACCTATTTGAACAAAACTTTATGAAAGAGCATATATGAATGGCAAATAAGTACATGAAAAGGTACTTAACATCATTAGTCATTAGAGGGATGCAATTTGAAATCATAATGAGATGCCATTTTATGCCCACTGGAAAATAAAAAATAAAAAAATCGAAGTGTTGAAAATATGGACAAATGGGCATTCTTATATACTACTGGTGGAATTGTAAAATGTTACAACCATTTTGGGAAGCAGTTTCACAGTTTCTTAAAACACAAATATTTCATAAACTAGCCTATCATATAACTCAGCAATTCCATTCCTAGATATTGATCCAAGATAACTGACAGCATAATGCACATACAGATAATTTATATGAAAGTTCATAGCACATTCATTTGTAATAGCCAACCACTGGAACCAATGCAAATGTCTATCAAAAGTGAATGAGTATGTGCACTGTGGCGTAGCCATACTTAACAAAAAAGAAGAATGAATTACTAACACTGAAGAATTGAAGAATGAACACACCAATTTTGAAGAATCTTAAAATAATTGTATTGAATGGAAGCAGTCTGTTAATAAAATACAGGTTGTATGATTGTGTTTATAGAAAATATAAAAACTATACAGTGAAAGGAAAGAAATGAATGGTCTCCTGAGTGTGGCATGGGGTGACAGGAGGAAGGAGATGGAGAAAAGAATGTGGACATGAGTAAACTGCTGGCATGGTAGATATATTCATTATCCTGATGGCTGTTGTGTTGGTTTCTTTGGCATATATATTAGCCAAAAGATACCTATTAGGTTTGTTCAGTTTGCAGAATATCAATTATCTTCAATTATAAAAGAAATCTGAAGATGAATTAGCATTTTAACAATTAAATTATAAGTCTGTTTACTTGTTTTTCAGGGTGGATTGCTATTCTAGGTGCCATCTGGTTGCTAATTTTAGCTGATATCCATGATTTTGAGATAATTCTACACAGAGTGGAATGGGCAACCCTTCTGTTCTTTGCAGCACTCTTTGTTCTGATGGAGGTAAGTCTTTTGTTGAACTCTTGCAATAGTTCAAAGACCCGATTTTTATATTTCACATTTTTTTTATATTTCACATTTTATTTACTAAATGAAGAAAGCCCAAAGTTTGTAAGTCTTTCTACATATTCACTAAGTGGAAAATTATGGGGGTTGAAATTAGACTATTTTAAGTTAAACCAACTTTTATCTCAGGCACCTAAATATTATTTAATAAACTTGTTTATTTGGTTGCTTTTTTTTTTCTTGAATAACCTTTGTGGTTTGTAAACTTGCTATAATTTCATTTGCTGTAAAGTAGAATTTACTCTAAATTGGGATAGAGCAAAATGACTTGTTACAGAAAGTTTATAGGGAAATATCTTTATAGTCTATTCCTTTTGTGTGATATTTAAATAAATAATCTCTTATAATGGGAAAGACTGCATCAAAGAAAAGATTGGATAACATGTATTGTTTTAGTTATAATTTTTGTCACAAAATTATTCACAATAACTTTAATCTTAGGAGTTGATTCACAAACATGTACCTCCTCAAATACAAAGATTTACTGGTATAGTCTGAAGTCAGGCAGGTTGATTCCTCCAGTTCCATTCTTCTTTCTCAAGATTGCTTTGGCTATTTGATGTTTTTTGTAATTCCATACAAATTGTGAAATTATTTTTTCTAGTTCTGTGAAGAATACTGTTGGTAGCTTGATAGAGATTGCTTTGAATCTATAGATTGCTTTGGATAGTATACTCATTTTCACTATATCGATTCTTCAGATCCATGAACATGGTATATTTCTCCAACTATTTGTGTCTTCTTTGATTTCTTTCACCAGTGTTTTATAGTTTTCTATATATAGGTCTTTTGTTTCTTTAGGTAGATTTATTCGTAAGTATTTTATTCTTTTCATTGCAATGGTGAACAAAAAATTGTTCCCTTAATTTCTCTTTCTGTTTTCTCATTGTTAGGGTATAGGAATGCAAGGGATTTCTGTGTATTAATTTTATATCCTGCAACTTACTATATTCATTTATTCACTCTAGTAATTTTCTGGGGATTTTTTAGGGTTTTCTATGCAGAGGATCATGTCATCTGCAAACAGTGGGAGTTTTTCTTCTTCTTTTCCAATCTGGATTCCTCTTATTTCTTTTTCTTTTCTGACTGTTGTGGCTAAAACTTGTAAAACTATGTTGAATAGTGGTGGTGAGAGTGGGTATCCTTGTCTTATTCCTGATTTTAGGGGAAATGCTTTCAATTTTTCACCATTGAGGATAATGTTTGCTGTGAGTTTATCATATATGGCTTTTATTATGTTGAGGTTTGTTCCTTCTATGCCTGCTTTCTGGAGAGTTTTTATCATAAATTGATGCTGAATTTTTTCAACGGCTTCCTCTGCATCTATTGAGATAATCATATGGTTTTTATCTTTCAATTTGTTGATGTGGTGAATCACATTGATTGATTTGTGAATATTGAAGAATCCTTGCATCCTTGGGATAAAGCCCACTTGGTCATGGTGTATGATCTTTTTAATATGCTGTTGGATTCTGTTTGCTAGAATTTTGTTAAGGATTTTTGCATCTATGTTCATCAGCGATATTGGCCTGTAGTTTTCTTTTTTTGTGGCATCTTTGTCTAGTTGTGGTATTAGGGTAATGGTGGCCTCATAGAATGAGTTTGGAAGTTTACCTTCCTCTGCAATTTTCTGGAAGAGTTTGACTAGGATATGTGTTAGCTCTGATCTAAATTTTTGGTAGAATTCAGCTGTGAAACCATCTGGTCCTGGGCTTCTGATTGTTGGAAGATTTTTTATTACAGTTTCTATTTTTGTACTTTTGATGGTTTTGTTAAGATTTTCTATTTCTTCCTGGTTCAGTTTTGGAAAGTTACACTTTTCTAAGAATTTGTCCATTTCTTCCAAGTTGTCCATTTTATTGGCATATAGTTGCTGACAGTAGTCTCTTATGATCCTTTGTATTTCTATGTTGTTTGTTGTGATTTTTCCATTTTCATTTCTGATTTTGTTGATTTGATTCATCTCCCTTTTTTTCTTGATGAGTCTGGCTAATGGTTTGTCTATTTTATTTATCTTGTCAAAGAACCTGCTTTTAGCTTTGTTGACTTTGGCTATGGTCTCCTTTTTTGCTTTTCATTTATTTCTGCCCTAGTTTTTATGATTTTTTTCCTTCTATTAACCCTGGGGTTCTTCATTTCTTCTTTTTATAGTTGCTTTAGGTGTAGAGTTAGGTTATTTATCTGATTTTTCTCCTGTTTCTTGAGGTAGGCATGTATTGTTATGAACCTGCCTCTTAACACTGCTTTAACTGAATCCCATTGGTTTTGAGTTGTTGTGTTTTTATTTTCATTCATTTCTATGCATATCTTGATTTCTTTTTTGATTTCTTCTGTGATTTGTTGGTTATTCAAGAGTGTGTTGTTCAGCCTCCATATGTTTGTATTTTTAATAGTTTTTTTTCCCTGTAATTGACATCTAATCTTATCTCATTGTGGTCAGAAAAGATGCTTGATATGATTTCAGTTTTTTTGAGCTCACGAAGGCTAGATTTATGGCCCAGGATGTGATTTATCCTGGAGAAGGTTCCGTGTGCACTTGAGGAAATGGTGAAATTCATTGTTTTGTGGTTAAAATATCCTATAGATATTAATTACGTCTAACTGGTCTATTGTATCATTTAAAGTTTGTGTTTCCTTGCTAATTTTCTGTTTAGTTCATCTACCCATAGGTGTGAGTGGGGCATTAAAGTCTCCCACTATTATTGTGTTACTGTTAATTTCCCCTTTCATACTTGTTAGCATTTGCCTTACATATTATGGTGCTCCTATGTTGGGTGCATATATATTTATAATTGTTATAATTGTTATAATTGATATATATATATCATATATATTTATAATTGATCCTTTGATCATTATGTAGTGTCCTTTGTCTCTTTTAATGGCCTTTATTTCAAAGTCTGTTTTATCTGATATGAATATTGCTATTCCTGCTTTCTTTTGGTCTCCATTTGTGGGAGATATCTTTTTCCAGCCCTTCACTTTCAGTCTGTATGTGTCACTATGTTTGAGGTGGGTCTCTTGTAGACAACATATATAGAGGTCTTGTTTTTGTAGCCATTCAGCCAGTCTTTGTCTTTTGGTTGGGATATTCAACCCATTTACATTTAAGGTAATTATTGATAAGTATGATCCCATTGCCATTTATTTGTTGTTTTGGGTTCGAGTTTATAAACCTTTTCTGTGTTTCCTGTCTAGAGAAGATCCTTTTGCATTTGTTGAAGAGCTGGTTTGGTGGTTTTCTCAGCTTTTGCTTGTCTGTAAAGCTTTTGATTTTGCCTTCATATTTGAATGAGATCCTTGCTGGGTACAGTAATCTGGGTTGTAGGTTTTTCTCTTTCATCATTTTAAGTGTGTCCTGCCATTCCCTTCTTGCTTGAAGAGTTTCTATTGAAAGATCAACTGTCATCCTTATGGGAATCCCCTTGTGTGTTATTTGTTGTTTTTCCCTTGCTGCTTTTAATATTTGTTCTTTGTGTTTGATGTTCATTAATTTGATTTATATGTGTCTTGGGATGTTTTGCCTTGTGTTTATCCTGATTAGGACTCTCTGGGTTTCTTGGACTTGGGTGGCTATTTCCTTCCCCATTTTAGGGAAGTTTTCAACTCTTATATCCTCAGGTGTTTTCTCATGGCCTTTCTTTTTGTCTTCTTCTTCTGGAATTCCTATCATTCAAATGTTGGGGCATTTCACATTGTCCCAGAGGTCTCTGAGGTTGTCCTCATTTCTTTTAATTCCGTTTTCTTTTTTCCTATCTGCTTGATTTATTTCCACCATTCTATCTTCCACCTCACCTATCTTATCTTCTGCCTCAGTTATTCTACTGTTGGTTTCCTCCAGAGTGCTTTTGATCTCAGTTATTACATTATTCATTATTGATTGACTCTTTTTATTTCTTCTAGGTCCTTGTTAAACTTTTCTTGCATCTTCTCAATCCTTGTCTCCAGCTTGTTTATCTGTAACTTTGTTTTGTTTTCAAGATTTTGGATCATTTTTACTATCATTATTCTGAATTCTTTTTCAGGTAGACTCCCTATCTCCTCCTCTTTTGTTTGGCTTGGTGGGCTTTTATCATGTTCCTTTACCAGCTGAATATTTCTCTGTCTTTTCATCTTGTTTAGATTGCTGTGTTTGAGGTGGCATTTCTGTAGTTTGGAAGTTTGTGGTTCCTCTTTATTGTGAAGGTTCCTCCCTGTTGGTGGGGTTGGACGAGTGACTTGTCTAGGTTTCCTGGTTAGGGAAGCTTGCTTCAGTGTTCTGGTGGGTGGAGCTGGGATCTCTTCTCTCTGGAGTGCAATGAAGTGTCCATTAGTGAGTTTTGAGGTGTCTGTGGGTTTGGTGTGACTTTTGGCCGCCTTTATCTTTCTGGCTTACTTCACTCTGTATAGTGGGCTCCAGTTTCATCCATCTCATTAGAACTGATTCAAATGAATTCTTTTTAATGGCTGAGTAATATTCCATGGTGTATATGTACCATAGCTTCCTTATCCATTCGTCTGCTGATGGGCATCTAGGTTGCTTCCATGTCCTGGCAATTATAAACAGTGCTGCAATGAACACTGGGGTACATGTGTCTCTTTCAGATCTGGTTTCCTCGGTGTGTATGCCCAGGAGTGGTATTGCTGGGTCATATGGCAGTTCCATTTCCAGTTTTTAAAGGAATCTCCACACTGTTTTCCATAGTGGCTGTACTAGTTTGCATTCCCACCAACAGTGTAAGAGGGTTCCCTTTTCTCCGCACACTCTCCGACATTTATTGCTTGTAGACTTTTGGATAGCAGCAAAGCCACAGTTATCAAGACAGTATGGTACTGGCACAAAGGCAGAAATATAGATCAATGGAACAGAATAGAAAGCCCAGAGATAAATCCATGTACCTATGGACACCTTATCTTCGACAAAGGAGGCAAGGATATACAATGGAAAAAAGACAACC